TTTAATTTTGAGGGACTGGCGGTGAGCGGGCCCATAAACCCCATAACGAGTTATGATCGTTTTAACAGCACTTTTTTTGACAAATTTTCTTGATTTTTTTAAAAATCAACGGAGATTTGGATTGAACTCCAAATGCATTGTTTTTTTTCAGGTCGGCTCGGCAATTCTACAACGAAATAGCCGCAGTCGACATTTCTATAAATAAAATGAATAATTATCGCAATTTCGATCTTTTTCTTCCCTGGTTGGCTTCTCAGGGGTTATACAAATCACTGAAAAAATTGACGATTTAAAAAAAAAATTTTCGTACATTTGCTAGCGGTTCAAAGTTTGCCGACTTTTACGGACCCTGAAAATCGGGGGGTTTTTCGGCTTCTCACAGCGATTATAAATAAACTAATCAAATTAAAAACTTGAAACTCCGTATTGGGCAAGCGAAATACTTATATTACACAGTGTATTTGGTCTCATATTTTTACGATTTTTTTTCACTGAGTTATAGACGTTTATTTCGAGTGGTCTCTACTTTTGACACCGACAGTAAGTCAATTGAAAAAAATATTGGGTGTATAACTTGATTTTTACAGATTTTTCAGAAAATTTATCTAATAGAAAAAAAATAGAGAATAACGAACTTAATCTTGGAAATATTGTCCATCATTTTCTATGACCTTGCGCCATCTCTCAGGTAACATACGAATGCCGTCGCGAAAGAAAATTGCAGGCTTCGAGGCGATAAACTCATCGACGAATTTATGCACATCGCCCAGCGTTTTGAACTTTTTATCCAGTAAGGCGTGCTGCATTGACCGGACCAAGTGATAGTCGGATGGGGCCAAGTTTGGTGAATATGCCGTGTACGGCAGAACTTCCCATCCCAAGTTAACGAGGGTCTTCTAAGTCTGAGGCGAGCAACGTGAGGTCGAGTATTGTCATGCAGCATTATGACTTGCCTGCTTCCTTGCCCAGTGAATGGCCTTTTCCGATCAAGTTCTTCGCTCAGTTTGTTCAATTGTCGGCTGTAGCGTTCCGCAGCCACCGTCTGACCAGTTTCCAGGAGTTCATAATAAAACACACCCTTCATGTCCCACCAGATACACAGGAGAAACTTCTTTAAGTGGATGTTCTGTTTAGGCGACGATGTACTGGGTTGCCCGGGATCTACCCGCGACTTTTTACGTTTGGGATTCTCGTAAAAAATATACTGTTCATCACCCGTCACAATTTTCCACAAGAAGTCCTTTTTTTGTTGCCGGGCAAGCAGTGAAAGGCACGTGTTCATACGTTGACCTAGGTTGTGTTCGATCAACACATGTGATAGCCACCTTCCAAGTTTTTAGATTTTTCCCATTTGGTGCAAACGCTTGGAAATAGCTGTTTGAGTGACTCCTAACTGAGCTGCAAGCTCTTATTGCGTTTGCATTGAGTCTTCATCCAGTAGAGCTTGCGATTCCGCATCTTCAAACTTTCGAGGCTGTCCAGGTCGCGGCTGGTCACTAAGATTGAAATGAACACTTCTAAAACGTTTGTACCGATAATTACATATTTCATAAGACACAACGTCAGCACCAAAAACACTACATATTGATTCTCGTGCTTTAGAAGCATTTTTTCCTTGTTTGGATTCGTATAAAATGCAGTGCGGAATGTGCTGTTTATCAGTTGCCATCCTAAATTCTGCTATTTTGAGAGGTTATGTAACTCACGTAAACTTGTCGTTCGGTGTTCTGAAACCTGTTGTCCGATCCCAGCCCCCTGACACTCGACGAAACTACAGTCGACGCTAATGAGGCTGCCGCTGTGGCGCTGGCTGTACTGTCGTTTGACCCGTTCGTTCGCGCCAGTCCATACGCCATTTGAACACCCATATGCCACTGTCGTTGATTCACAGAGGCGATGGTACAGATAAACGAGTAACATCTCCTCTGTGGTCTATTTAATAAGAATAAGGGAAGATTTTGGGAAGGGATGAATGATCAAATGAAAGGAGAGTGTTCTCATTATAATAAAATTTATTCAAACATAAATATGAAGGATACAAAAACGTTCAGGTTTTCATTAGCTTTGCCATTTTTCTCTTCTCCTGATTCAGTTTTTTCTGCTCGGCGTTAAAGCGTACGCAAAATTCTCGCATGCGTGTCGAGATGAACAAATGGATTGTTTGATAAAGAATATCTGTCGCATGCTCTTTGCAAGCAAAAGAGAAATTAGGATATTGATAGACATCTTCAAGAATATCGTCAAATAAATAGGGGGAATTGGAATGATGGATGAATCGCTCTTCGAGAAATAGTATGAAATGATACATTTGCTTGTTAGGGTGTAGAAGAGGACCTTTCATTAGGACGTCAGAAAAATGTGATTCTGGGATAGGTCTGTGGTCAGGCTGTAAAAGTGCCTTTTTACAGTTGGGACACCCAGCATTGTTCATCACTCGCTTGATAATATTACCAGTCATGAGATACATCATGCAATTTGAAATCTCTGGTTGAGCATAATCATGGTCAAAAATGTCCTCCAACTCCATTTCACCATCTCCAACTATTTTATCTAGTTTATCCTTTACCGCTCGGGTGAGTTCAGAGTCAGGGTTTTTTTTGTAAATAGTTTTTAGTTCAGAAAGTGTGATAAGAGGTTCACATAGTTTATCAGTCGCTCTTACTGTACAGTTTCCTGTTTTAGGAGGTTTTAGTACACTGTAGGTAGTTAGAACTTTGTATATTTGTAGGAAATTAGGAGTAGTTGGATGGTCATTACTCCCCCCTGCTTGACGAACAGAGCCAAAAAATTTCTGGAGAAGGAAAAAAAAATGAAGAAACAAACAAACATGTCATATTAAAGAGTGTAAATCAGTCTGTGAATCAGGGTGAAGCAGTCATCAAATCATAATTAATATGTAGAAAAGTGATACACGTGGAAAATATTAGTTTCTGTGTCATAATGCCACAGAGCAGAGGCAGAGAGATATCAAGCAAAAGCTCAGAAAGTCACAAGGATAGCAAACCAAATCACACAAATCGTAGCTCTTCAAACCTCAAGACAATCCTGATTTATTCTTCCCGTAAGAACATATGGAAATCCACACTCTTTGGTG